AATTTCGGATTAACTTAATAAAATTTGGAGTGGACTTTAACTCTTGTCCTGCCACAAGACTAATCCCCCAGTGTCAGATTTATAACGAGATAATCGGATTAACGCGATGGTACTAACAATAGCGCGAGCAAAACACTAGGCACAGTCCAATGGGCATGAACAATAACTGCTATTACGAATGAGTGGTAGCATGCAAGAAGCAGAGTAACAATAGCGTACATGCAGCCTTATGGCAGGCTATGATTTAAAGATGATTATTATTATTATTATCATTTTTACGGTCATCATCTTGGTTTGTTTGTGTGTCTCTTCACGATTATTCTCACAGATTTTCGACGGAAACTTCAACAGACGCTCGGTGGTAACCAACTACTTTGCCGAACCGGTTTCAGCCAGATATGTTCGGATTAATCCACTGACGTGGGAAGATTATCTCAGCATGAGGTTCGAGCTTCTCGGCCTGAGGACAGTACCGTTAAGCGATGTTCTTAGTGCTGGTAAGAAATCTGAACAATCTGATAAGGCGCTCAAGCATTCAAGGAAATTCTTCGTACCGGGTACCCATTAGCCTTTTGACAAGGCCTCGTGACTCTGGCTAAGCGGCTGAGATGAGTCTAGATACCCGGGGTAAACGCACGACCGAGTGATTCTCGCACTGGCGTTCACTCAGGTTTTCGCGATTAGTCTCTTTTTAGTCGCTCGGCGTCTATCAGACATGTGGCCTTGTTTAAAGGCTAGGTTCCCATCTACTTCATCGGGGAAGTGTTTCACAAAAACTAAGATGAACTTTAAGTTGGACTTCACTATGGCAGGTCGTTCATGCCACTAGTTCCTCTATCCATTCCTGATATTGGTTTATCAAGTGAAGTACAAATCGTTGTGACAAAACTACCGAATTTACATGTTGTTATTGTTCATTATTGAAGGAAAAAATTAAGGATCATAATTGAGAGACCAATGGTGAGAGCAACCGGAGGCATGAATGGCCTGCTAGAGTTAAGTCTAACTTAAAGTCGATCTTAGTCCTCGTGAAACAATCCCCTGGATGGAGACTGGCAAATGCAGATTTATATCTTGCCACAATATATCAGTGACGCAACTGGACACGAACCGCGAAACCATGTGATCCAAAGTCCAAAGACTTGTCCTGTAGACCAGGGCCCCGTCTTACAAAGAGTTACGATCGATCCAAATCAATCGTAAGTCCTCCAATCAATCGCAAGTTTGCAGTCTCCTATCTCTTATGTACATAGTTACGGTTGATATCAATCGCAAAGTAGTTACGATTGATATCAACTCTTTGTAAGACGGGGCCCTGGATACCGAATAAGATAATATTACTTTAAAGCCCCACTGTCCTACTTGTAGCTATTTTGCTCGCTCTATATAGAAACAATGCCTTATCGGTGACCATTGGTGCCCCATTATCTTCTTTTTCTTATGTTAATTGAGAGCTGAGTTGATGAAAGAGCCACCTGTCAGTGACCTCGCTGTGTGGTATAATCCCTTCTGGCCAAACTAAAGATTCTTTACAATTCAGAAATATTTGGATGCCCCTGTTGATATATTATAAGCACTAAAACTGTAGCCCCTACAACACTTCTGCTTTCGAGAAAAATTGAATATCAAAATTTACCGATGATCCCGGTAAATTTCGATAATTTCCAAATGGCGCCTACGGCTATACAATATTATACAACTCACTCCCAGATCCTTATCAAATGATTGGTCATACGCGGTCACGTGTGATTCATTTACTGAGCCTATTGCACTCGTTTTAATGAAAAGGAGTGCAATATTTTCCAGTACTATTGAACTCGTTTTCAGAGCGCAGTAGTGCGCGTAGAGGTTAGAGCGCGTAGTATTGCGTGAGCATGAGCCTATTCTTGCGCAGCACTATGCGTAAATGGGTATAGAGGTAAATAGTGCGCTTGCTATCTATAGCTATGTGTGCGCACTAAATTAAGCCTGATTAAACTTGAGATTCATTTGTCAGCCATAAACTTTCACGAAACAATCTTGAATGAATTCGTTTTACATCAAATAACAAGGATCTAGAAGTTTCGTTGTATAAAACAAATGGTGCATGTTTTCATTCGTTCATTATACGATTATCCACCCTCGTAGATGCTGTGTGTATCTGTCGCACTCAGCCTAACGGCTTCGTGATAGATACACACAGCCTCAACTCGAGTGCGGATAGATCGTATAATGAACTCATGCGCATGCATCATTTGTATAATAGCTGCGACCATGGAAATTTCAGAATATGTAGTTGTGATATAAAGTTTTCAAACGGGAATAGCCAATCAGTCGATTTTAGTCAACAAACTTTGTTGCATAGCTAAATTAATATCTTGACGTTGTTTGGTATGCAAATCATTCGATACTCTTTTAAGGATAAACTTATTTTCATCATCATTACTATTATTTAATATAACATCAATTTAGTTACATAAACATTTAAATGAGCAGTAACCGTAAACTAATAACCCTGTATACCACTCAATACTTCATATATAAGCGCTTAAAATTGTAATTATTAAAGCTTATCAAGACTAGTGTGGCTAGGAGGGATTAGACAACACAGCGAGGTCACTGACAGGTGGCTATCTCATCAACTCAGCTCTCAAATAACATAAGAAATAGAGGATCATGGGGGACCAACATGCACCGATTCGGGAAGTTTTCTATATAGAGGGAGCAAGTAGCTACAAGTAGGACAGTGGGGCTTTAATACCCGGTGATTGTATCCGATTGCTAATCCGCACATGATAGTGCGCACGCTCCGCTCCGTGGGAAATATTTGGCCACAATTTTGTATTCAACCTTGGCAAATTATTCCTCGAGGAAGGACAGCAATGGGGAACTTTGATTTATGCTACGCAACCATTACTATCTCATTCCTGTTTGCATCATATATAACAATGTATATTAAAGGCGTAATTAGAGGGACATTTGGAGTGAAAAAAATGAGTAATTAAAAAGGAGACATTGTCATTAGGACAATTTGGTGTCCTCTTAACGTTTTTTACGTTTTATTTCTCATAGAAGGCCCAATTTTGTAATATATCTCTCTATATATATGTAATTTTACTAAAGGCGTCATTGGAGGGACATTTGGAGTGAGAAAAAAAAAAGAGTCATTAAGTAGACATTAGGGTTAAGGTTAGGGTTAGGGTTAGGTTTAGGGTTAGGTTTGAGGGTAAGGGTTAGGGTTAGGATTTTTATGATGTTCACTTAATGTATATATATAATATATATATAATTATGTATACATAATTTATGAAATGAAATTAACAAATATCATCATTTTCCAGAAAAACCTTTGACATTTTACCCATTGGGGATGGAAAATGGAGATATAGATGATTCGCAGATTACGGCCGATTCTTTTCATGGTAGCCTTAGCAGTTATCGTCCTGCACGTGCGCGTCTCAACACGATCGCAGGTATGTAGAATCCTAGTAAATTATAAATTGTAATACTACTACTACTACTTTTACCATAATTAGTACGATTAATTAGAAGAAAGAAAAAAATAATAATAATAATAATAATAATAATAATAATAATAATAATAATGATAATAATAATAACAAACACTACATACGCTGTAATTCCTAATTATTAAAGAAAACCCCAATAATCAACCTTCAAACTTTTTTTTTCTCTCTGTTTCTCTTTTTAACTTCCTCTATGTCTCTCTCTTTCTCTCTCAAACGCATACACAATAACATTCATTTCGATTCAGAGCCTGGTCTTGCCGGTGCCTGGGTCGGTAGCACTACCACCCCTTATCCGTGGATCCAGGTTGACCTGAGGTCAAACCATATCGTCAATGGGGTCATGACCCAAGGCAGAAATAAAGAATGGACACAATGGGTCCTGTCTTTCAAAGTGCATCGGAGTTTTGATGGATATATTTGGCAACCCATGGCCGACTTTCGAGGATCAAAAGTAAGTGATAACGTCGGTGGGGTGACAAAACCTCGTATCTCAAAAATCATGAATTTTCAGGAGAGCGAAAAAACTTTCCTGTCTCAACAAATGTAGTGCTGTGACACTGTCCTTTCTTTTTAAAACTGGAATATTTATACAATTTTTAATGTCATTGTTGAAATATAGTAAAATAATTGTTTTTATATTTGAAAGTGAGTTACGAGGTTTTTGCTTTTATCTACATTGAGATACGAGTTTTTAGTTGTTATTCAAATTGAGATACGAGTTCTTACTTTCAACTCTGAATGAGTTACGAGGTTTTGGTTAATTAAGTTACGAGGATTTGACTACACTAACTTCGGTACTGTTAGGCCGTGTGTGAGTTACGAGGGAAAGGAATTACGTATCTTATGTTACGAGGTTTTTTCAGTGGAGCTTCAAAGGGGGTTAAAGTTACGAGGTTTAGTTTAAGGGTGTTTGTGTAGATTTGTGAAAACCGAGACAGGAGGCGTTCCATGAATTTATCAGGTGGTGTCGTAGGCCATTAGGTACAAAATTATGCAAAAAAAAATCAAAATCTCAAAAAATTGAGATACGAGGTTTTGTCACCCCACCGACGATAAGTAATAATCATATTTTTGTATTATTTACCCACATAACCATATCAGTTTTAATACTGCCCTTCCTTGCAGAACATGCAATTGTTACCCCCAGTATTTGCTAGGTACCAAATTTGACCTGGGTAGAGAGTGGTACATTTTGATTAATGTCATGTTAAACGACGTTAGTGCCGGGCCGGGATTCGAACCCTAAAAGTAAAAAAAAACCTCGGATTGTGCGTCAGATGAAAGAACCACTATACCCCATCATCTCCACATAGGTAAATGAAACATGCCAAAGTGGTCGGTAAAGACTTCCAGAGACTTTCAAAGACTTCCTATGAATTCTAATGGAATTTAAATTGATTAACCATTCGTCAATATTTAATAATGCAGTCGTTTGAATGCTCAAATTATATGCTTATTGCAAATTCTTCCAAAAAATAAAATCGTAATTGTATACTGTGCGATGGGATTTCTCATGTATTTTTGTTTAATCCTGCGGTTGTAATAGGATTATGGCGGCAATTTCGACGAGGACACCATCGTCACGAACTACTTTTACAGACCAGTCCTTTCCCGATACGTGAGGTTTGTGGTTACTAAGTTTAATGAACGTCCTTCCATGAGGTTTGAGGTTATCGGGCGAGACATGGGGCCGAGTAGGAAACGTTTCCCCAAAGGTAAATAAGCTTTATTGTTTAAAAGTAGTCATTAATTGTATGTGTTTCGATTGGTCTTATTGTTCTAGTTCACTTTGGAGATGTGCTATCTTTACCCTGATATTCTTCTCTGTAAAATGTAAACCTTTTTTTTTTTATGCGATTTCATCTTAGCACTAGTAGACATTGAGCATTTATTTGATTTTTCCTTTGTCATATTGTCAACGAAAGTTCTTATGTTTAACAATATGATAATGAAATAAACCTTTTTTTTCTTCTCTCATCGACAGATTTGAGTGAATGCTATAGTTTTCCCAATGCGTTAGACTATAGAGGGATAATTAACTACACAAGGTCAGGAACTGTATGCCAAAAATGGACTGCTTTCAAGCCCCATTCTCACACAATAACTGATCCAAATTATCCTATGAGGGGACTTGGTAAGTTATTACTAACCTCAATTAATTTTGCTGTAATATACTTCCATTCAGTTTCATTTTATTATATTCCAACATAATCGCAACAATTAGCAAAGAAATCCACTTAAAGCCACACTGCACTAGAAACAATGGCGAATCCCCTGTAGCGCCATAAAAATGAAAAATAATTATAGCTATTTCTAGAGCGCCGTCTATTCAGAAGCGCATTAATTATCACCCCTGCTTTAGCCTAGTTGCCATTACAGCGCTCCAGCATTTCAAGGTATTAATTCCTGCCAGGTACCCATTTACCTCACCTGGGTCGAGTGTGGCAAATGAAGATTAATGCCTTGCCAATAGTCTCAGGTCAGCTGTAGAAATATGGTCCCGTTACTTGCTGCTTGACAATCTGCGCTGATTTTTCTCCTATTGAGTCCTTTTTCTGTGTGGTTGGAATAAGGAATACACCAGTTTACGGTTACATCAGTGCGCATGCGCAGACATGGGCACCATTTTAATACACCAGTTTACGGTTGTATCAGTGCGCATGCGCAGACAGTTGACCTCGGGTCATTGGCTTTGAAACAAAGCCAATGAACCGAGGTCAGTGGTATTGATGGTAAATTAAGATTGCGCCCATGCAAATGATGTTGTGCGCGCACAACGCAGCGCGCAGGCAGTAATGTCATCATAATTTGCATGGGCGCAATCCTAATTTACGCATAAATCCCTGACTCTAGGTTATTGGCTTTGTTTAAATGGCGCACACGACCGTAAACTGGTGTATTGACGAGTTAAGAAATCCTATGACCTAGAGGTCAGTGGTATATATTTATGATTGCGCCCATGCAAATGATGATGTGCGCGCACAACGCAGCGCGCAGGCAGTGATGTCATCATAATTTGCATGGGCGCAATCTTAATTTACGCATAAACCACTGACCTCTAGAGGTCATTTGGTTTGTTTGCTCGTCAATTAAATTGGCGCCCCTAACCGTAAACTGGTGTATTGGATAACGCACTATTGACAAGTTGACCATGTAAAAATAGATAGTGCTCTGTAATAGAGAGTACACTAGGGAAGAATTGTGTTCAGGTCAGTATTGCTTTGAGGCAATTTCAATATGCGTGAGTTAATTTTGGGGAAATAGTTACGAGCGGATGTTTGACGGATGAGGGGTTCGTTTATTAACTAAAAATCGAGGCCTACGTTGTCGACCAAAACAAGGAAAGGTGATTATTTTGTTTTATTTCTACAACAAAGGAGATCACAAAATATATACATCATAAGATGTAAATTGGGAAATACACATAAATGACACATGTTAAAGTTACTATGTCCCATTTGCAGGCCAAAAAAATGAAAAAGTTAAATTCCAACTGCATTTGAAAGATAATACTTATTTAGAACTTCCCTAAAAAAAGTGGGGCTTGAAAATGTCTTCAAGTGGGAAAATAAAGACTATTAGTTGTCAAATCGACTTTAGGGCTATAGAGCCCAAAAGTAATAGTCTTGATTTTCAGAAAATTGTACCGAATGGTCATACGTTTCATGCTGCGCAAAGATTCAATCAGTTCAATCTTGGCCATCACAAGAAGTGGGTTATTGATGTACACAAATGCTCATGTACCCTTTACAACTCTTTTTCATGTATGTTATTACCAATGAAGAAAAAAGGCCAGTCAGTCACTCAATAGTGTCTGACAGTGAAGTCTAGCAAGTAAACGGGTTTCCTTGCATAATTTGAATATGAGGACACTGCTAACGTTTAAATTTCACAGATAGGACATACATGACATATTAATAATTCCTGCAAAGTTCTACAGAATTTGAGGTTGGCTGCAAAAGGGACATAATACCTTTAAACCTATTTTTTAACTAATTTAATTAGATCTACGACTAAAATGTAAAAAGAAAAATTCCAACATGCGTGTCTACAGTTGAATTAGTAATGGCATCGGGTATTCCTATGAAAATTTGCAGTATTATTCAAGTTAGAAATTTTAGGTAGTTGTGAGTTGGTCTAGCGGCACGTTCACTTGGCCGGATATATGTCCTCGACGTTGAAGGTTGGTCCCCAGACGTAAATAATCATATCTGATTGACAGCAGACTGTCTGTAAAAAAACTCAATTACATACAGAATTAATAGGTAAGTATTTATTTATATTTTTTTGTCATTCAGATTCCATCAACAACAAAATCGAAAATCTAAAAGGTAACGGCGTAATAGGATCCCAGTCGATTCAGGACAACTCTTCATTTCACCCCAGAGCCCCACTCCGGGATAGGAGGGACCGCATTCATGTTCCCAAAATGTCCGGTTTTAAAGAGTACTTTTCACGCAGCAAAGTCCGGCTCTACACTTTACACATAGGGGAGTGATTTCAAAAGGAGGGAACATGCATACGCGTACTCTAAATAACACTGAGTAGGGGGGGGGGGATTGCACCACGAGAAAAATATTCATTCGATGCGGTGAGCACCGAGATTGATGAACTTGATAGAGCCGGGGTTATATTTTTGCTTCTTCCTCCGTAGGAGATCACAACTACTGCCGAAATCCAGACGACTCCTCTTCTGCATGGTGTTACACTACCAACCCAAACCTCCGATGGGAGCTCTGTAGCATACCGCCTCCTCAAGACGTGTGCAGCGAGGAGCATGAGCAGCCAAGTAAGAGGGGATATAACAATAAGATGCAATCAAGTAATTTCTACAGCGCTCTTACAAACTAACTGTTGTCTCACAGCGCTTTACATGAAAATGGTTGTTGTTCATGGTCAACGAGAAGTTGTTTTAGACATTTTTGGAAGACATCCAGCGAAGGTGTTTGTCACCCCCCCCCCCCCTCCCCTCGTGAATTACGCTGTTGTATGTCAATTGAAGTATTTAAGAAACAACTAAAAACACACCCATTTACATAGTAATTAACTGCATTACATTTCCTATCATATGTTTGTTTAGTTTTAATTCATTGATGTATTTGTTTTGTAAAGCGCTTTGATCAGTCGTAAATTGGATATAGTGGTATAAAAGAAACAATTTATTATTATTATTATTATTATTATTATTATTATTATTACTATTATAAGGTGATAAACGAATAAACCGTGGAAGCTCATTACAGAGTCGAGGAGCACATGCATGGAAAGCATTTTCGCTAGCTTAGGTGTATTTTCGAGAAATGTGTAGCAGCTAGGGTGCTGTCAGTACAAAACCGAAGGCCAGGGGAGCGTTTCACAAAACTTGTCATCAGTGACAAATGACAGTGTTTGTTATAAGCTACTGAAATCCTTGATCCTGATTGGTTATCAGCAGAGATTTGTCACTGATTTTTTTCATTTGTCATTGAAAAAAAGATTTGTGAAACAGGCCCCTCCCCCTATAGAAAAAAGGACAAAATGTAATGACAATAATAATAATAATTATAATATTAAACTAAATATACTAAATTTTAAAATCATTCGATAGATGAAAATTAATGAAGTAAGGAACAATACATGGTGACTTCCTTCCCCTTAAACAAAAATTAACAAATGATAAAATAGAGGTTCCCTCTCAAAAGAAAAAAAACATGAATACATTTATTTCAAAAATGCGTGGTAAATTTCGTAAAATGAGCCCCACAGAGAAGTGGTTTGCGCATCATTATTCAATTTGAGGATCATGGTTAAATACAAATAACAATATCAGTCAGCCTCCTCTGGTGCTCTTCAGAATTCGCAGAATGCTACACAGATATCGAGGCAAGGGACTACAGGGGCTTCATCAATACCACTAAGAACGGCAGGGCGTGTCAGAGATGGGACCAGCAGTCTCCCCACACCCACGACCGATTATCTAAATACCCGGATGCGGGGTTGGTGGAGAACTTTTGCCGGAATCCTGACCCGGGAGATTCCACGGCTTGGTGTTATACCACTGACCCAGGCAAGCGCTATGAAGAATGCAACCTGCTACCGCTGCAAACAAGTTGTACTGAGGCAACGGCTGAATCAGGTAAATACTTCCAAACGGCTTGTTCAGAATTTCAAGGCGCGGCAAAGGCGTGCTGAAGGAACGGCACTAGCTACGCGCAATTAGGTCCTGCGCGTATTGCCGTCTTGTGGATCGTGTCATACTTGACGTCACGATTGTAAACCAAAAACGATCACGAAGGATTATACTTTGACCCCCCCCCCCTTTTTTTGTTAGGGGGGGGGGGGGCTCAACGGCGCCAAGATCATCATTAAGTGTAGATTTGGCACAGGTATATCATTTCTATTGTTTTTTCTAATTTATTTTCTCCCACCCTTCAGCGGATTATTTTTTATTTATTTATTTCACATAATTATACTGAAACGGATCGCTCATTCAACAAGACTTGGTGTTCAATGAGGGGCGGGGGGCGGCCTTAACTTAGGTACATACACACAAATACATACAAAACAAACACAAATACAAGAATACAGGGTTCTACATACAGTGTGAACAAATATAAATTAGGAATTTTAAATACAGACATTCCACATATAAAGAAGATCAATTCGAATATACATACAAGTATTTATACGTATAGATGGGAAACAATTGCTTATCCATCCAGAAACCAATAAAGGGTGGTGAGTGGCATTAACAGTAACGTCCAAGCCAGCCCACGATGGATAATATTGTACTTCAAAATGTCAGCACCAGTCCCCACTTAACACATACACGTAAATAACAGCATCTGCACAAATTGTGTATGATTATAAAATCAACATATACTAAGCTTCTTTATTAAAGCACATAAATTAATTGTAATAATAATATACCCAGGAGTGAACTAGGTCAAGGCACCTGATACATACAAGAAAATACGTGGAAAGGCTGGTTGAGTTCACATGAACTGAATGGCCTGCTTAACCCTATTTAGCCCGGGGGGAGGGGGGGGCTTGAGAAGCCCCCCCCCCCCCCCTCGACATTTTTCGCGATAATTTTTTAACGCAAGAAAATTTTGCACTGAAATTTTGTGACTTTTTTCTTTCGAGTCTTGCGCATCTTTTGAAAGAAATTTCTCGAAAATCGGACCTACCATTACAAAGTCACGTGTCCTTTTGTCTTCGCATGTCAGCCCGAAAATCGCTCATTTTTGTGATTTGTGTACAAAACATATGGAAATCTCATTTTTCAAACAAACAGATAAAACATTGGTTATTTGGTCTTGTTGATAGTTTAAGGTGTTTATTTTGGGGTCAAAATAGTTGAATTATAGGTGAAAATGAAATAAAACAACAAAAACAATAAAATACATAAGTAAAAAAAACAAAGAAATACATAAGAAATTATCAAAACAATAGATAACATAAGGAATAACCCTGGTTTTTCAATTGTTTGTGTTGTATTATTATTCCAAATGGTCTAACAAATATATGCAGTGAGAAAGAATGCTTAAATATGAATAATGTCTGATTTATGGGCAAAAATGTGAATTTTATGACCTTATTTGCATAAATTACCATAAATATGCAAATGAGTGAATTTTTCAAAAAATTGAAATTACCATAGTATTCTTTACACTTCACTTGACATGTATGCAAATTTTCGCGGCGATCGGGCGTTTCACGGCTGAGATCATAGGGGGGGGGCCTGAGAAGCCCCCCCCCCCCCCCCCCCCCCCGGGCTATGCAGTTTCAAAATAGCCCGGGCTAAATAGGGTTAATGCTGTCCGACTGACTCAGTCTCTATACATAAGACATCTACGTTGGGTCGGCTTGCCCTGATGCTGGGTGACCTTCATGTGACCCCTAGTCCGTGAAGTCGTCGAATGCTAACCCGGCTAGCGAGAATCCTGTTCGGCGATTACTAGCGGCCTGGAGTCCAGGTAAGCCCAAAGGAACGGCTGTAAAAAGGGATTTACTCTTTTTGTTAACCCCTTAGAAACTAACAAACGTAAGCCATAATACAGATTATACATATACATATACATACGGGATAGAGTAGAGAAATGTCTACAGCCCCATCGCCCTGGTACCCAAAACCTTCCAATAGTCATTCCATGTAAAACTGTCTAAATACATGAGCCTCAGCTTGTGGCTCTGTAATTACATAATGATATATGGTACTTCACATGCATATTCACTGATCCCTTTCAATATTTAACTTCAAGAGATATGGATCCATGGTAAAATAAGGTAAACTATAGAGTTATTGATTAATTTTACCCTTTTCTTCTTCGAACTCTAAGATCTTCAAAATGATTACTTTATCAAGCACCGTCAACATACATAGATATGTATAAAGGAAATCAGTGTAGTAAAAATCAAACAGTCATACGAACTTACGTTATCTCCTCTGTAAGCGGTCTAAAAACTGCAGAGCGGCATTGGCGTGGTCCTGTAGAGGCTTGGTTCTCTCTGGTGGCTTATTCATGATATTAAGGAAATTTCTGAGACCAAATACCCATTAGCCTGACACGTATAAAAGTAGAAAAAACGCTTGCTTACAATATATTTTATCACCTGACGAAGTGTAGCAGCGGTGCACGAAACGTCGTGATCTTTCAGATCCCTTGTTGACCATACATTGCGAGACAAACGAATGTCACTAGCGATATTATTTTCGATACTATATCCGCAATAAGTAATATATTTAGCAAGATAATGCATGTACCCATATATCGCGGTAAAAAAAAGGTTAGTTAAAATCTATACCAAAAATATAAAATTTGAAATATAAAAATGATATGTTTATTTGAAAAAAAAATTGTTTGCTTTTTCAAGTCTTCAGCAACAATCCACACGTAACTTATACTCTGGGGTATATACTATTTATACTATATCCGAAATGAGTAATATTTTTAGCAAGACAATACATGTACCCATAGGTCGCGGTAAAAAAAGTTAGTTAAAATCTATACCAAAAATATAAAATATAAAAATGATATGTTTATTTGATTTTTTTTTTCAATTTCAAGTCTGCAGCAACGATCCACACGTAACTAGTTACTCTGGGGTTGTGAGCTGGACGATCAGCGGGCGTCAGTGCCAGAAGTGGTCCTCGCAGTTCCCTCACGCCCACCCCTACACCAACTACTCAGACCATAACAGATGTTTGAATATTGACGAGCGTTTGACGGCGTGGTGCTATACCACCGACCCGCTGGTTCCGTGGGAGTATTGCCCCGTCGGCATGTATCATCCCGCCTGCATTGCCTCAAACTCACCCTCAAAGTGTAGGTAACCGTGATTGGCTTTCGAAAAAATATACTCAGCATAATACAGTGCGTCCCAGAAAAAACGAAACCGAGAATTATCGATGTTATGAAAGGGCAAAAACTCAACTTTCTAGAAATAGCACTTTAAAATTCAGATACCGCCCGCCAAATGACTCTTTGGTTTCCTCTCTTCAAATTGCTTTTAATCACTCATGCGTGAAATATGCATTATATGAGTTACGTCAAATGAAAGAAGAGGATCCAAGCTTTCCAAATATGTGTCATTTATCAATTATAGTTGTGATTAAGTTATGATAAAACATCGATAATTCTCGGTTTCGTTTTTTCTGGGACGCACTCTATAGGAAAGTGGACACTCTTTACTGTTCGAAACATTTATGAACACCGTCAATGAAATATATATCAAGTTAAAGAAAAATAACAACTCTATCAACATCAATAATGTTTAAGTTCTGAAGGTTTAGTCTTTTAAAATAAGGAGCAATAAGCCATTTATATGTTTATGAATATGTGCATGTGTTTAAAAATATACATTATATTGTTAAACAATTACAACAAATAATGAGAAACAAGAAGGAGGATTGAATTTTTATTATGTCAACTATATTCCTAAGATCGAATGGATTTGACAAGCATGGTCAAGATGCCTCTTCGTTCCTGTTAGTCATTATTATTTGTTAGCGGTCATTGTTTCGACTCCACAAGAAGATACTTAAACATATGTGCTTGCAGCCCAGAAACATGGACTTCATAGCAAACTTTTGAAAGGGTTGAGGACAAAGATAGAAAGGGTAATACTACGGAGGGAGGGAAGTGAGATTTCCAACTTTCAATGAAATGGTTAACATACATATTTAATAATATCATTAATACTTCATTCACAGGTTGCAAGACTTACAGGTTCGAAGTGGTTAATTATAGATAATTTAATGTTATTGGTAGGTTATCTCTTTATGTTTAGATGCACAATTTGTGGTTTAAAGATAAAGTTGAGTTCTGGTCATGCAATTGCATTGTGACATAAACGGTGTGGAATCGATCAGAAAAGGTTGACCATTTAGCATGTAAGTATTGGTGTGTAATACTGCAAGGTTCTGGAATTATCCAAATGATAAGAAATTTGGCCCGTCTTGGTAAGGTTACAAGCACTGTACACATAAAGATGTACTTGAGACTACACGAACATGTGGCGTAAAAATCCGTCCCGATTTGTATGATGTTACATTTCATATTTAGAATGTTAAGGCATTTGAAGAGCCATACTTTTCAGGGAATATTTTTTAAGTGATATTCTTCCACACTTGCATAATACAATGAAAATGCTCACAAATTATGTTTTACCTCTTCCCAGAACTCAACCTTCTCTTTAATTATTCATGCAGGGAGACCTGTAGTAATCTTTAAATCAGATAACAATGGAACGTGGCCTAAGTTCAAGGAGGATTCTTTTAAAGACTACAGTGGATTCGAGTTTGACTCCGTCGACGGGGTGGAGTTTGTAGACTGCATAAAAGGTAAACGGCAGCATTATGGGTATGATGCTTTTGATGTCTGAATCATTTGGTTTTTAACATATTTTTCCATTTTCTTTCGGTATCGAAATAATATGATCGGAATTATGATGAATATCTATCATTCATTTCATTTAAATTTACTACCTATATGTATGTTTGTGTACAAAATAACAATTCAGATTTTTATGGTTGCGAGGATTTTGTTTATCAATAAACCATCTCAATTTAATTCATTCAATACACAAATTATTTTAAAATGCTAATATATGTTCAGTTGTTTCCATATTCATGGCACTTGAAGGAGAAGCGTGCGTTCCCAATCCCGGTCACAATGACGGTTCTTGTATCATGGATGGAATCTCATACATCTAACATTGCTCCGGTCCCTAGACGGGGGGGGGGGGGGGGCAATCTGATCTGATGAATAATTCGCAGATTAAATATGCTCCATGAGATGTCAACAAAAGGGATAATTCGGAGCTACTCACTTTGATACGTATTGAATAATCACAATGCAGTCTCAATCTAATATTTTGTCGATGCCAAGCCTTAGGAAACATTTCGGGTATTCAATACTCGTTTGTTCGTTTGTTCTACTCCCATCGTTGTGACTAAGGGTCGGGTGTCATAGATTTTTAAACCAATGCTCTCCGCTGTCTCCTCTATCTAGCGTTTTCTGTGAATTTTACAAAGGATCTCCCTGTCAACTGGTTAATATAATCTGTACAACTCCTTCATTGCCTTCCTCCTGACTGCATCCCATTGATTCGATCCTCAATAATGTGGGTACAGATATTATGGATCCTGGGTGGTGTTTCACAAAGACTGAGATCAACTTAAATATGATAGGCCATTCATGCCACTGGTTGCTCTCACCCTTGGTCTCTCATTTATGATCTTTAGATAATATTTTTTCCTTCAATAAGGAACTATCAGAAAGCTCAATTCTGTAAAAGTGTGACCATGATTTGTACGTCCATTGAGAGTCCCTTGTCAGTAAATGATGAGAGTAACAGTGACATGAACGACCTGCCGTAGTTAAGTCCAACTTGAAGTCAATCTTTCTTGGTGAAATCCCCCCCCCCCCCCCTGATGGCATGTGCACCATACTGCAATTTCCTTTTTCAATACTAAGCTTGCATAAAATAATAATATCATTTTCCCCTACTGTTGCTAATTGAAGGAGAAGCATGCGTACCTAATCCCTGTCTGAATGGAGGCTCTTGTATCAGGAACGCAACCTCGTACTTCTGCCAATGCGTGGGTCCCTGGACTGGATGGAATTGTAATGATGGTTAGTGTTTCCTTACCTTATGCTTCTTTATGATTATTCTTAACCCGTTGACTCCTGAATTATCAAATTCCCATAGACCTAACACATGGACCTCCAGGTTCCAGTAAACAATGGGTTAATGGTAATTATTTCTAGAATAATGATTTTAAACAAAAATCATAATCATCTTCCTCTCCGTCTTCTTTTTCTGGTCCTCCATCCGCTTTTGCCGGAGATTAGCAACAATATTATTTGTGTTGAGATATGTCTATAAGCATGTAAATTAGTCTTTATTGAGATGAATTAGTAAGATAACAATTTAACACACAGGACCTAACGTTATATTTCCTCTGTAATCTGTCTTTTAGAATCATCAAATCTTGACGACATCTTTTGGTCGACGAATCACAGCATCACGGTCATCACAAACACGAACCTTGATCACGAAGAACAGTACTCTCACCAGGTTTTACTGAAGTTTTACAAGATTTACGATAGAGACAACCCTACATTCGTCGTTATAGAGGTACGTGAAGATATTCGTAAAGTCACCGCAAACTGTTCGATCCTCCTACGATCCGATTTTCGAAGAAATTGCAATTATTTATATAATTGTTATTAATAATGCATTATATGGACATCTAAGCAATCATCATCTTTCGGATTTGACTTGTAAATAATGAAAGAATATTAACAAACGAAATTGTATTGCACTTATCTCTTCCAGTCAGAATAAAACCCGAATCAGCTTCAAGTCGTAGACAATCGCACGACATCTGACGCAATTTGTTTTCTTTCTCAGAGGAAGCACGAAATCTCTTGAATTAACGATACTGCTATCAAAATCCATTGTCATTAAGATTGTAAATGTTCGTAGTGTTATATCAAATACTATGAAAATCCTTCTAAAATCGGATCGTAGTCAACTTGTGTGTGTGTGTGTGGGCGGTGGGCTTAATATTAGTAAAAAAATAACGATGGAAAGTATGCGGAAACGCCCTTGTTTAACTCGGTTATAAGAGTACAATTTCGCAAGGGGGAGCGATGTTTTTTGCCTAATATATCAATTCGTCACCTTGCATAGTTTGCAAGTTTGAGTTAGAGTTTGAGTTGTAATGCATAACAAAATCACAAACATAGTCAATACATCGTACATATGTCGCAGTTTTATATGCGAATCCAAGGTGAATCATTTAATAGCTATGACTTGGATTCTTATCAATAAACCTTGCCAGTTCAATTCAATTCAATATATATCATTTGGTAACTAAACCTAACAAATAGCAACAGGTTAATCGGGGTTATCGAGTTCAGCCATCATGGTTTGCTTCGATTTATCCAATAATTAATATAATGTTTGATATTATTTATGGAGGAAATTGTAAAATTAAAAAAAATAGGCAATTTTGAGCTAATAAGATATGTATATTACAAAAAGACAAGCACGCTGACGGAATAATTGCGTTTAATTTAATGTATTTCCTTAAAGGTACTATGTCCCATTTGCAGGCCAAAAAAATGAAAAAGTTAAATTCCAACTGCATTTGAAAGATAATACTAATTTATAACTTCCCTAAAAAAGGTGGGGCTTGAAAATGTCTTCAAGTGGGAAAATAACGACTATTAGTTGTCAAATCGACTTTAGGGCTATAGAGCCCAAAAGTAATAGTCTTGATTTTCAGACAATTGTACCGAATGGTCATACGTTTTATGCTGCACAAAGATTCAATCGGTTTAATCTTGGCCATCACAAGAAGTGGGTTATTGATGTAGACAAATGCTCATGTACCCTTTACAACTCTTTTCATGTATGTTATTACCAAAGAAGAAAAAAGCCAGTCAGTTAAGTCTAGCAAGTAAACAGGTTTCCTTGCATAATTTGAATATGAGGACACTGCTAATATTTAAATTTCACAGATAGGACATACATGACATATTCATAATTCCTACAAAGTTATACAGAATTTGAGGTTAGCTGCAAAAGGGACATAGTACCTTTAACCTGGACAAAATTAACATATCACGAAACGTATAGTTACAATGTAATATAGGAAGGGAGCGAAATTCCCTAACAACACAAGGCTTGTGGTAGGATCGCAAAACAGACATAATTATGATACATACAAACTACATTTCAATCATAATCTACATAAAATACCAATAAGAACGAGGAGATAGAAGAGAAGGAAAAAAGGAAGAAACAAACCAAACAATACTAAAAACATTTATATCAACATAGAAATGTATAAACGTACGTGTTGTACTAAAAAGACGTCTATATTTAACCCTAAATGGTATATGAACGGGACATCATAAAAACTTGTATAAATACCCTAACCCTAAATTAAAAACAAAATGACTATTTTAATGAACTAATGACTAAAGAGTAAACCTATTGTAAGTTGGGAGGCCTTTAAGTTTCCTCTGCCTGTAAACGTTAGAAAACATGGCGGTAATTATATTGTTCAATCGTTAACCCTTATTATACAACACACTCCCAGATCCTAATCAAATGATTGGCCATGCGCGGTCACGTGTGATTCATTTACTGAGCCTATTGCACTCGTTTTCATGAAAAGGAGTGCAATATTTTCCAGTACTATTGAACTCGTTTTCAGAGCGCAGTAGTGCGCGTAGAGGTTAGAGCGCTTAATACTGCGTGAGCATGAGCCTATTATTGCGCAGCACTATGCGTAAATGGGTATAGAGGTAAGTGCGCTTGCTATATCTATAGATATGTGTGCGCACTAAATTAAGCCTTATTAAACTTGAGATTTATTTGTCAGCCATATACTGTCACGAAACAATCTTGAATGAATTCTTTTTACATCAAATAACAAGGATCTAGGAGTTTCGTTGTATAAAACAAATGATGCATGTTTTCATTCGTTTATTATACGATCTATCCACCCTCGTTGAATGTTGTGTGTGTCTATCGCACTCAGCCTAACGGCTTCGTGCGATAGATACACACAGCCTCAACTCGAGTGCGGATAGATCGTATAATGAACTCATGCGCATGCATCATTTGTATACTGTACTGGGGGGGGGGGGGGGGCTTGCGCCGCAACCGCTCAGAATTTTGAATTGTCGTTTCATGACTTTTTTCCTCAAGTCTTACGCACATTTTGATACCATGTTCGTCGAAATCGGATATACCTGTAAGGTGTTACATAACAATTAGTATGCGCATGTCTTCACAAAGTGTTATAATTGCATATATTCAAGTACAAGAATAAATGTGAATACAGGTTTAGATGTATTTGTTCCTAAGTGGGAGATATGAATTGATATCAAATTGCTTTTATATGTTTCTCAAAGTAAATTGATGTATTCCAGAACAAAATAATACATTAGAAATAAAACAATAGATATAATAAGAAATAAAATACATAAGAAAATAAATATTTGATAATCGCATAAAATGTGCATGAATTATCATTATTAATTATATAAAAATAACTATGTTGTGTAATAAAATAATTTTCATTCAAAAAGTGGAGTCTGACATTTTTTGTAATGATTCTAGTTCCCTGTATATTTCCAGATTTTATATTCACGAATGCGTAATTTGCGTATTCATAATTTATGCAAATTGACCTATGCATTTTCAAATATCATACAATATCATGTAGAGTTTTCAGTAAAATGCATAAAATTAGCATTTTGCATAATTAATTAGGCTATAACGAGAAAATGTGCATACTAGGAAAAAACTAATTATACAGTGTTGTTCCTTACGTAAACAAAATAGCCCAGTACAGTAAGGGTTAACAGGACAAGAACATGCCCTTCTAATTATCATGTCTCCCCAATGACTAATTTTGTTAACTACATTCTGTCTTTCTAATGACGCTGTAAGGCCTATGTACACATACGTTCATACATATGTGTCTACACACATACAAATCTATTTGGTGTGGTTGGCCTAGCATAAGTTTGTATGCCTCTTTTCAGATATACGTTGACGACTCCAATGACCAATGTCCTGTATTCGAGGGGAACTATACCCTCTACCCTATACCTGCATTCCAGCAATACATGACTACCGTCAATGCTTCTGACAACGACAAAGGATACAACAGCCAAATATCTTATTATTCAGAAGTGTTGCACTCGGTGTAAGTTTCTAACATTTTAGATTTGTAAGATTTCACATTGTCTTATCCTTTTAAGTGTATTTTCCGATTTCCAGTCTAATATCTCATTATTCAGAAGTGTCGGACTCGGTGTAAGTTTCTAACATTTTAGATTTGTAAGATTTCACATTGTCTTATCCTTTTAAGTGTATTTTCCGATTTCCAGTCTAATATTTCATTATTCAGAAGTGTCGGACTCGGTGTAAGTTTCTAACATTTTAGATTTGTAAGATTTCACATTGTCTTATCCTTTTAAGTGTATTTTCCGATTTCCAGTCTAATATTTCATTATTCAGAAGTGTCGGACTTGGTGTAAGTTTCTAACATTTTAGATTTGTAAGATTTCACATTGTCTTATCCTTTTAAGTGTATTTTCCGATTTCCAGTCTAATATCTCATTATTCAGAAGTGTCGGACTCGGTGTAAGTTTCTAACATTTTAGATTTGTAAGATTTCACATTGTCTTATCCTTTTAAGTGTATTTTCCGATTTCCAGTCTAATATTTCATTATTCAGAAGTGTCGGACTCGGTGTAAGTTTCTAAAATATTAGTTCTGTTAAATTTTACATTGTCTTTTCTTGATTAAAGCTTCTTCAATTTTTCATTTAGGATTACACAAATATATTGAATCATATTTGTAAAAGGGTCCGGGCGTCGTTTAGAAGGTTATTTGAAATACCTAGATAGGGTTTCCACAGTCTAATATTTGAATGTCTTCACTAAGTGCTTTATTTTAACATGACCTGGGGGTGTTTCACAAAGATCCTAAGTTGAACTTAACTCTAAGTTGAACCTAAATATTATGGAGAGCCATTTGTAGCCTTAAAATAAAATATATTCAAATAAAAAATTGAAGTATGTTAGACTTTTCATAAATTGCCCATCAAGAACATGAAATCTCCTTCATAATAGAAAATATGAATGGTTAAAATTAACATGTTATGCCTTTTAAAATCATTTTTACAAAATATTTTCAAAGATGCTAACGGCTTTCCATAAGTTTTAAGTCCAACTTAGAGTTAAGTTCAACTTAAGGTCTTTGTGAAGAAAAAAAAATTGGTTGTTTTTCTTACAAAATTATTATTGTGTTATTAGAAATACTTATATGACTGGGTTAATTCATTAATAGTGTTAATTGTGTAAATACGAAATATATTTGTTTGGTAACGGAAATTGATAATGATAATAATAATAGTGGGGTTCTTGTAAAGCGCTCATGTCTGTCATACGGGACAGTCCTGGCGTTCCCGATCATTACCCTGGCTTCAGCATGGCTGCCATACAGCGCTCTAGCATTTCAAGGAATTAATTAATGTTATGGAGTCATTTGTATCCCTTCGAAGACCACTGGATGATGAGTTTTTGCACGAAGTCACCGTTCGTTTGGCAGCCATAGACGGTGGGTTTCCACGGAGAGGCACGGTAACAAACGTCACTCTGATAATAACCGGGACGTGTGTCCTTGATGCCGAAGAAGAGAGGACACCCCTTCATCTTACCACGGGTGTCTACACTGGGAAACTAGGTGTTGCGGTTCCTAAATATTACTTCTACAACTACGGTAAGGACTTCATAAACCACGAAAAAAATATACATACAAAAAACGAAGCTATGTTACAAAAACGACACAGACATTTTTATTTAGCATTTTGTAAAATCTCACAATTTTGAACCCAGTGCACCATTTCCACTCCTTCTGTTCCTGTTCTGTAAAGTGCATAGAGATTTGCGAATATATCTATGTGTTATGCGCTATACCAAAACGTGTAATCATTTCTTTAATTATTATTACCATAAACACCCTAAATCATGAAAATCGACTTGCAATCGATCGTGAAAAAATGGTATTGTATCGTCAATATTGCTACAATTATTGGGCAAAAAGAATTTCCGTTTCGGTTTAATAAAATTTGGAGTGGACTATTAGGCTATTATTATTATTAGTAGTAGTAGTAGTAGTATTGTTATTATTATTAATCGTTAATTAACGTCCATTGCATCTTATCTGTCGTTACGATGAATTGAAATAGAGATCGAACAAAGCTGGGGGAGATAGAATTAAGTGAAACTTTTAATGTTATAGGTCCCTGTTAAAAATGCAGGTTCCAATATAATGTATGTATTTTCTGCAAAGAACTCTGTGCAATTGCGCATATAAAATTTGTTAGGTTTCCTGGACATTTTTGATAGAGGAGCTCTAACTTGGAATACGATTAATCTATGAATCTATTTGTTGGAGTCTATAGTCCTTCTTTTGTTTTCGCTTGTAACCGGTATTTGTATATTTCGTCGCGAGCTGTTTTGGTATGAGTTGTCATGATTTCCGTTTCTGCGACTTTTCTTTTCGAAATAGCTAAACTGCATAACTTTGTATTAAAAAGAAACTTACATAACAGTGATCACCTTTAAACATTGGAATGAAATTGGAATCATACAACACAGTAATCATCGGGTTATATTTATGTGTGTTGGCTCTATCTATCTTGACAAATTTCGTCCTTAAACTCAGTTTACTAAGTTTAAAACAATTAAATAAAATAACAATGTGCATACAAATTAAAGTAAAGAGTTGTTAAAGGAATCGCGTTGTAAAAAGGAACACTCTGTAAGGAATATAAAAGGGTTGATTTGTATAGGTAACACTTATGATTTGCTGTTTAGGTCTATTGTGAGGATTTAAAACGATCACAGTGATTAGAGAATGATAAGTCGTACTTCAAAAAACATGCGATGCCAACTATGATATTCGTCCGCACTATAACGTGAATCAGTGAAAGATCACAAATTATATATAATTTATCCCGTACCACAATTCAACTTCCTCTTGAAAATGAAGAGTTCCAATACGAATCTGATACTTTAAAGCCCCACTGTCCTACTCGTAGCTACTTGCTCCCTCAATATAGAAAACTTCCCCATTCGGTGCCTGTTGGTCCCCCGTGATCCTCTTTTTCTTATGTTAGTTGAGAGCTGAGTTAATGAGATAGCCACCTGTCACAGTGACCTCGCTGGCTAGCTGGGTGGTATAATCCCTTCTGGCTGAACTAGTACAGTCGGCCTTTAAAATTTGACTTCATTCTTTCTTTCTTTTTCTTCTTCAAATGTTGCAGTTTGCCTGAAACCACTTGGAATGGAATCAAAGATGATTAGTGCATACGATCTTAGTGCATCTAATGATGGTTTGGAGAAATATGATACTGACTGTGCAAGACTCAACAGGCTTCCGTCATACCAGTGTGGTTCAGGTAAAAACTCAATGTCCGCTTGCTTGTTTGTTTTAAACCTCGGTCACAAATGCCATCACGAACTGGTACGAACGCCGTACGAACGATTTTCAGACAATGGAAATTCGGGAAGACAATGGAAAAACGGGGAGATCCGTACGAAATTATCGTCCGTACGAACCTTTGTGACCGTATCATTACCTGTCTAGTAAGAAAACATATGTATGCGTGTAAGTAAGCAGCCAGGGGACCGACGCGGCTTTAAGTCCTCTCAGAATGACATGCTCTCTTAATGCTCTCCGAATACCTTAAATAACAGCATTTGCGCATCGACCTGGTTTCGAACCCGCGACCTCAAGGTTATGAAACCACTGCTCTACAACTGAACCATCGCGCATCCTCAATAAGCCAGTTCATAGATACAATCTGCGCATGGTCAGATAAAGGTCATTTGTACCAAAAAGGTAAAACCCACAGAGATGAATACTGGATATGCGCTCATGAAAGTTATGTAACATTATTCATTTATGCACCAACGGTACATTCTATGATACGCAGGTGGAAGTATTCTTTTCAAAAGGGCAAACAAAAGGTATTCATGAAGCACATCTAGGACTTTGGCAGTTATTATTCTAATATGCTCAAAGTGGAACTTCTCCACGTGTAAAAGATCTGTGGATATTTGGGGTCATTTGTACCATGTGCTATCTGTAAACTCCCTTATTGTAGCTATATTTCCAACTCAATGAATGTCGCATTATCTACATTCTGTTCAATGATACCCTACTTAATCTGCCCGTAGATTCGGACATGGTTTCTAAATGCATTACAATGGAAAACTGATAATGCCCCCATGAGCTGAGTTCTAGACAGTTACTTACGATAATGTTTAAGGGTAGCATACACTATGAACATTACGGACAAAGAAAGAGGACAAAATATACAGTTCCCCATTCTACCCTCAACAATTGCTGTGGTAGACAAAAGAACATCCCTTCACTGCTATTATGTAGAAATGTGTAGAACAGGTGAATATGCATGTGACACCAGTTCTACACATTTTTACAAAATAGCAGGGAAGGGATGTTCCTTTGTTTACCTGTGGAACTGTATATTTTGTCCTCTTTCTTTGTCCGTCTTATTCATAGTGATAATAGGGACTTTTAGATTCGCACGAAGACAATGGGGATTGCTACGATCGACGTCCTTTTAATGCACTGCCTTGAATGGACGTCACACGTATCAGTCCACGCAAATCTAAAAGTCCATAATGTCTGGTAAACACAGGCATTCTTTGCTGGCAAAGGAATGCGTCATTGACTTCTTCGTTCTGTGACGGACCAGTGAGTTGAGCATGGCGTTGTATACTTGGAAATGTGAGTTGATCTGGCGGTTTGGTCCGTCTATGTTTACAAACTGACTTTGATCGGACCCAGGTTCAGAATTGAGTCACGACTTTCAGATGGTGACGATAAAATTGTATATCCGATTAAAGATAAAGGTGAGTTCTGGTAATGCGATTGCATTGTGAAAGAAAAGGTGTGGAATGGATCAGAAACAGTTGATCATGTAGCATGTAAGTATTGGTGTGCACTGCAAGGTTCTGGAGTCATCAAAATCATAATAAATTTGGCCTAGTCTTGGTAAAGTAACAAGCACTGTCCACAGAAAGCTATGTATGGGAAAACACACATGGTGTCGTGGCTAGTACTACCTTAATTTCCTTGTCTTTCTATGCTCATTACTCAGCTAGTATACATTTTTTTCCAAAATTGTTTGGCACATGTCATTTATTTGTAATCTTGAACATTCAGTGTAAGTTTCGTTTGATTCTGTGAGAATTTTTTTTTTTTTTTTTTTTTTTTACCAGAACTGGAGTTTATCTTTAATACATGTCTTTGTTATACCAGTAAATTTAATGCTTCCTGGGAGAAATTTCAATAGTTTAAACATATTTGTGGCTTACACCCAGTAAATAAGATCGATTTATCGATCTGTAATTGAAAAACAAGTCAGAAAAAATACATGTCTGTAGTACACCCAATTATACACACGAATGTCCGTGGTAATGTGTTCTTTCTTAATGTTATAAAAAGGTTGGGTTCCCAGCGATTTCCCGTCACTTCCTGGTGAATGGATCGAGGTTGCAATGAACGAAACAACAGTCTTTGCCGGAATCAAAACCCAGGGCAGCAGTGTGATCGAGGCTTGGGTCACGACCTTTAACCTGGCCATCTCAAACGATACTCTGACCTGGACGTATATCTCCGACTCAAACAACGTCACCCAAGTATGTAATTCTTACATTTCTACAGTACATTTAAACACAAAAGGAGTTTACGTTGTATCACACTTTAGAAGCTTCGTATAAAATTTCAAATCTCTAGTGACCTTTGATGCAAGGTCAACGTATAACAGTCAGCCGTATTCTTCCAAATTTAATTAATTTATTCATACTTCAGCTTTTACGCTAGACTGGTAAACTTTAATTTTTATCAAATAATTTCAGTTACAGGTTTCGGCAGAGGTAATGAATAATTGTCGAAGTGTTATAGTATATATGTTAATTGGGGGGGGGGGCCTGGGGGGACGTGGAGGGGGAAGGGAATGGCTTTTTCCTCGAACCATTATGATAAACTCACATACGCTTTAAATTGAACTTAAGTATACGAACTTCCATACAACACTTCTTATTGTGCGATTTTAGGAAGAATTACCTATTTTATTCATAGAAGAAAATATATATTGACGCTAGGAAATCTGTATTAAATGAATTATGGACATTATTGCATTATACAGGGTTGCGCTTCGGATTCTCATTTATTTCCTCCGTATATCGTTTCATCTTTCTCGTTATCTTCAATAACCCACAGCTATTCAATGGAAACGTCAACCAAAACAGTACGGTAACAAACTACTTCGACGAGGTGTACGCGATTTATTTTCGGGTTTATCCCATGACGTGGCACATCAGAATCGGATTGCGCTATGAGTTACTTGGATGCAGGCCGTATATGAAGTTTAAACGTAAGTTCAAAGTTCAAACAATAATGAGAGGCGGAGCGTGAGTCCGCCCGTTGAGGGGGGCACTTGGTAGATAAAGTGCAGAGCCATCTATACACAGAGTTTGGCCAACCCGGTTCGAGTTAGACACACTACGGCGACTACTGCTTTGTTGAGCAAGCAGAACATAAATAATGTTGTGCCATGTTGTGTCCCAGCGAAACTAAGTTGGCTAAACTCTGTGTAAAGATGGCTCTGATGAGGTGGTAGGGTGTCTTTTTGGATAATGTAAACGCGAAATTAAGAATTAATATAGTGAAGTATAATAATGATCTTAATTTTATAAGGAACTCAATTGACACGCATCTGATTCATTCACGCAAGAAATCCACTCCCTGTGGACTTTTCCTACCATATGGTCACCGTGAGGGCATATGGCATTGAATAACACAAATGCCTTTGTCATCAGACTAGGTCCCAATTTCTTTCCTGGGTACAGAGTGGCAAATGTAAATGTATACTTTGTCTTAGTACATTAGTGCCGTGTTGGCGTGTTCCAGATGCCGACGGGTTACTCAGGTGTCACCTTTTCATTTCCCCATTCGATGTTTCATTCCTTTTATTTGGCACTTCCCCATCCGACCTGTACCCGTAGCTGCGCCCCAGGAAAAGTTCATGTATGAACAATGTACGTTAAAACTTAGGCTAGTGAACTGTTGCATAATTTCGGCTGGAGGAGATTATGAAATATAAAAACAACTCTCAGAAACAACTACAATGGAATAAATGCAAAGAGCTTTGTTGCATGAGCCTAATATGAAAATAGATATGCAAGTGAAAGGAGTCTCTTCTTTCATTAGTCAGCTATTTCTAGTTATAATTCGAGTTATTGTTATCAGTTTTATTATTATCATTATTTTTAAAATCATCATTATCATTTTAAATTTGTCATATCATTCTAACTGTTATTATTATTATTATTTTCATTATTAATATTATCATATAGTGTATATCATTATAACTTGTATTATTACGATAATTATTTGCACTATTATAGTTATAGTTATTCTCATTGTTATTATTAATATTATTGTTATTATTATTATTATTATTATTATTATTATTATTATTATTATTATTATTATTATTATTATTATTGAATCATGTGCAAATATGTTGGGATGCGAGCGATGTGAGACGACATACTACTGTCCAGGCGATGGTGTATATTATTATAACTTGTATTATTATTATTAATATTATTATTGACTCATGTGCAGATATGTTGGGATGCGAGCGATGTGAGACGACATACTACTGTCCTGGCGATGGTGTATATTATTATAGCTTGTATTATTATTATTAATATTATTATTGAATCATGTGCAGATATGTTGGGATGCGAGCGATGTGAGACGACATACTACTGTCCTGGCGATGGTTCTCGCTCTGCATGTGGACGATGTGAACCGCCAAGCGAGGACTGTGATCGGTCGCCTGTAGAACACTCCTACGGCCACGCCACCGAATGTAGCCCGTGTCCACCGGGGCATGTGAGTACCATTTGCCAGATCGACGAGGGCCCCTTTGCATAAAATGTACCATTGATGGTAAATTTGTCATCAATGGCAACAACCATAGTACCAGGGCTCAACAGCCAATCAAAATCAAGGTTTCCATGGTAGTTACCAGTGATGGCATAGCTACCATCATCGGTGAGTTTTGTGGAACGGGGCCCAGATCTATTGTGTGTGTGTTTTTGTTTTTTACCTGACTGCTAAGAAAGCATGTGTATTGCATGTAAGTAAGCAACAAACAATTTGACCGTCGGCCTTAAGTCCTCTCATATGGATTTGACAATGAGGATTAATGTCTTATACCAAAGGGCACGAGCGAATTAGTTTCGAACCCGGGATCTTCCGGTTAAATACGAGACCACTGCTGCACCGAACCATTGCGCCTCCTTTAGCATTATTTTTTAATTACTTAATTAGTAAGGAGGATAAAAACAGAAGAAAACTATTACGAATTTGAAATCAAGCTCTTCTAAGCTCTCCTCTTCTAAATGAGCACTATTTTGTATGAAATGATATCAAACACTTTACACTTTAATAAAGGCTGTAATAGAATGACGCAATCGTTTCAAAGTGAAATAATTTTGGTAATATAAGATTTTCGTTAGCTCGGATGAGGGAGGTACATAAAAATCTATTACTTAATCTATTTTAATATATTTCTAATTTGGAATGCTTTTAACATTCGTACTTTATTATTAAAGCTTTTCAATGTTATACGCTCTTCAAAGTGTGATAAAATAATTGTGAAGAAAATATCGTGAAATTAATTTACTTTTTACGTTTATCATTGTTATCTTAGAGATGCCATGAGGGATATGCATGGCTATGTTCAAATAATACGTATGCAGCCTGTAATGAATCGGTAAGATACAACAAAGAGTTTCAAACTTCTTGAAAAATATGTTTTGTTTAAAGAGAAGGTTGAGTTCTGGGAAGAGGTGAAAACTAATGTATTGAGTGTAATCATTGTTATTACGCAAGTGTGGAAGAACATGAGATCAAACATGGTCCCTGAAAAGCACGGCTCTTCAAATGCCTTCATATTCTAAATATGTCATGTAACATCGTAAAAATCCGGGGTAGGATTTTTACGCCACGTGTTCGTGTAGTCCCATATACATCTTTCTGTGTACAGTGTTTGTAACTTTACCAAGACTTGGCCAAATTTCTTATCATTTTGATGATTCCACTGGAGAGCGTACTCAATTAGCACATTATTCTACAGAAATATATAAATGTATTAAAAATATACTATTTGATTATTATATTCATTTTGATTTTCCTCCGGAGTGTAAAGAATCGCGAAAAATATGTCTTTGAATTCAAATTGTAAGGCATGATCGTGAATGAGATCAAAGAAGGTTTCCTTGTACAACATAATTTTGTTTAAACGACTGTAAATACCTGATTAAACAAATATCCTTTTTTTTTTTCGTTTGTACTTCTTTTTCAAAATAAATGCTGTCATTAGAAATCGGTCAGTTAAGATTATAGTAAGCTTATTTGTTTCATATTCGAACTTACCAATCAGTTACATCCAATGATTGCGGTGATATAGGCTTACGGTAACATTATTTGTTTGATATGTACGAATATTTTTAGTTTTGTGATGATCATTGCGTCGAGTGTGAGGCTGGAACGGCATGCTTTGATGGTGTTAGGACAGAGTGCAAACCAGCCTTTTATTCCATAGGTTATGGACAAGGTAATCGTTGAACTTCTCTCTCTCTCTTTATATATATATATATATATATATCTTTCTCTCTTTATCAATATATCTGTCTATATATTTCTTTTGTTCTATCTCTCTATCTCGCTTTTTCTCCTCTCTCTCTCTCTTTGTCTAATGTATAATTATGCCTTTCTTACCATCACGTTAATCGATTTTAAACAAAGGGAAACGAACACTAGCTCATCTGAATTTTTTACAGAAGAGCATGCATGCTTAATACAAAATAATATATATAACCATAGGAGGCACAAAAGCCAAGATAAAATAAATACCAGTACTTGCACCAAAACACATTGCCTTTCAATTAAAACAAAATATTATATTTCATTGTAACAGATCCGTGGATATTTAGGGGTTGTTTATACCTGCCTCCGAATTAGTCTATCGCAAATATGTCGCAATATATTTTTTTTAGAGCATACTATTGTTATCACATATGAATAGATGAGTGTCTACCGTGTTCAGACGGCACCTACCAGTCTCTACCACGACAACCATCTTGTGAATGCTGTCCTAGTGGTTTTACCAGTAACATTGGCAAGTGGGAATGCGCCCCCTGCGAGTTTAATCAGTACTCCGATTCGGAGTGTGGGGATTGCCTTATTTGTTCATCTCCGTACGATTGTAAGTATTAATAGTCACACAAAAGAGAGAGAGAGAGAGGGAGATATGGGGGGATATGGGGGGGAGGGGGGGGGTAGAAGAAGCAACTTTTAATTTCAATAGATAGAGCAAACAATAACACAAATGTACAGTACCTATGGACAAGCATCACGTGGAAGTAAATCTTTATTTTGTCCTATGATGTGGACTAACTTAAGTTAACTACGATGTATACTATCATAAAAATTAGCAGTAGTAAATATATATTAATGGTAGTATAAGCAGGAGCTGTAGTTATGCTAGTAGGACAAGTAGATGACTACGCTAATCACGTTTGTCCACCCGATGCACCGCCCCCTGGATCCGCCATTGTCACAGGGTAACATATAGCTATGTTCAGTCTAAGTTCGCAACGCCCTCTATCGTCAGAGTCAGCAGCCTAACATGTTAGCCTATGGAATTTTATCCCCCCCCCCCAAAAAAAAAAAAGTTTAAAATTCCTTTTTTTTTAAACGAAAAGCACATCCACCCCGACGTACGTTATCACTAGCTCTTTCATTGGAACCCTCATGCCCCATTGACTTTTGAAAGTTCACCCACCGTTGATCAAAATAGGTTGCAAGCTCGTCATCGTTTATAATACACATGTGAAACAAGTCGAACTTTGGACTCAGTTTGCCAAGCGATTTTAAGATTATAGGTCAAGCACACGAAGGATAAGAAGCATGAATTATCATAGATCACTTCTGCTTGTTTCATTATGTCCATTTCATCCAACTCCCCACCGTCATTTCTCCATTTAGTAAAAGCAAACATTTTGCCGAGGTAAGCAAAAACATGAATATTTATGAACGGTCAGAGCCTTTTAGTCCGTAACGTATAGTGCATGGGCGATGATCCGTTCAGGAGGTAGAGGTCAGTGGTTTGTGCTGGCAATGTTCCAGCGAGCGAAAATGAGACAACCGGAGCAATATGTTATGTATACTGTACCGTTTTAACTGTACCTATATTATAATCTCTATCCCAGCTGATGAATAGTTTGTTTTGTTTTTTCTTTTTGATATCATTTTTCTAAGCAATAATACAAATACTTGCAATATCAAACTTCAACAATTTATGAAAAGATTATGACACCTAAGACTACACAATCATGTTAGGTACATGTTAATGGCAAAATTCACTTTCTGGTGAACTGGCAAAGTTTTCGTTTACTTCTACCTAGACGTCATATTATCCACATGTTAGGTTATGATAGTACATGGTTTACTAACATTGAGTCATTCATAAGATGACTTAGGGGTTATAATCCAGGTACATTAAAACAAATATGACTTTTACAAATACGGTACAGTATACTATGTTGTGAAATTTGTTAATCGGGTGCAATTAATGGGGTAGTCATAGTAGTAGTAGTAGTAGCAGCAGCAGCAATGAATATTAATTCTGTTATATGTTCATGCATATGGGGAATATTTAAAATATTTCAAACACTTATTACGAACAATATAATGTCAGGATTTCTTTCAAAGGTCCGGCGTGTAAATGGCAAATATGCGAAATGAAGGCTATCTTGCTTGCTGAACGTTAGAAGCTCTTATATATCATTTACATTCTTAAGTAGAAAAAAGATTTTCCTCGTTTGTCAATCCTGCAACATTTGTTAACGTTATTATTTCTCCCAGTACGATTTTTACTATTATTGTTTAAGGTCCATGCATGGTTGTCCCCAGGCCTTGATTTGAAAGTTAGAAGCTCTTGTGAATCATCTACATTCTTAAGTAAACAAATAAACGTTCCTTGTTTGTCAATCCTGCAATATTTGTTGACATTATTATTTCTCCGAGTACGATTTTTACTATTATTGTTTGAGGTCCATGCATGGTTGTGCCAAGGCCTTGCTTTGAAGGAGTGACGTGTGTTAATACAGGGAGGGGCCAGTTTCTCTGCCTGGATTGCCCACCCGGTTACGTGGGAGACGGGGATGACTGCATAGATATCGATGAGGTATTTTATTACATTTTGTTTCGAATTTTCGGGTTAAAAAAATATGCATCATGATATGAATTATTAATATTTGGTATAGGCCTACATGTCAAGTCGGGTCACTTCCCCGACGAAGGCTGACGCTGTAAGTTTTAGCTGAACAGCTTAACATTCCGGAGGTAAAAGTTTTGTATTGAGTTCAAAAGTTTAACTTCCAAGCACATTTTAGATACATCTGAGAAAAAAAATAAAACATAATATGTAGGTCTTATTTTCTCGGTATTACGGACTTTTAGATTCGCACAGAGACAATAGGGATTGCTACGATCGACGTCCTTTTAATGCACCGCCTTGAATGGACGTCACACGTATCAGTCCTCGCAAATCTAAAAGTCCCTAATAATACTGCTCCTCATGCCAGCCCTGGTAGTATTATTAAGCCAGAAATCGTCGGACACCCATTTGACACCTAGGTGGAAAGTGACAAAATGTGGATTAGCATCTCTTCAGAGCACGTAAGGACCGGGTAGGGACGTGATATCGTAATATATGAAGGGATTATCATTATCTTCGTTCATCTCAATCCTCCTTATTAGATGTCCCTAAGACGCGCAGTTCCTGGGGGGATAGAGCCTTTTCTCATTCTGGTCCGTCCCTTTGAAATAAGCTGCCACTTAGTATTCGTAACTTAACTACCCTCCATGACTTCAAAGTTGCTCTAAAACCCCATCTCTTTCTAAACAGTGATTTAATCATGTCAATGTAGCGTGATAATTTGTGTTGTTTTAGTTTACTTTATTTTAGTTAAGAAAGTTATATGTTTGTGATAGTAATATGTACAGCGCCATGAGCGTCAGAGCCTGGCGGATACCGGCGCTATATAAATATCCATAGTATTATTATTATTATTATTATCATTATTTTAGTGTGCTGACCACGACCCCTGTTGGCCTTCCGCTGGATGTTACAATCTATCACCGGGTTATATCTGCGGGAGATGTCCCAAGGGAACCGAGGGAGACATCATACATGGATACGGTTTAAACCACACAAGAGAAAATAGACAGGTGTGTGTGTGCTTTTTCTTATAGTAATGTGTTGGTTCTTTGTATTTCATTGTTGTGTATGTGTTTTTTGTACATGCCTTTTTTTTTGTTTTCTTGTTATATTATTGAATGTTGCGTTTTTTATAAAAAAATTTTTAAAGAGTGTAATTAGGCATAAATGTACAACGTTAAGGTATTACAAAGTGTTGGTATAGTGTCATGAATTTGGTTCAAATGAATATATTGGAAGCATATGCGATCCTTCAATATTCAGTGATCGTTGTCGCGGTTGAAATCGAGTATAAAGTTGTGAAATTGTAAATATTAAGCTCTTTATGTTGTAAAGCTCCCTCTCAAGGTCAAGATCTTAATTAAGCTATAAAACAATGTTTCTTGACTAAAATCGACCGATTAGCTACTTCCGTTTGGTAATTATATATCACAACAACATATTCTGAGATTTTCATGGTCGCAGCTACCATTGTACGGCCATAGGCGCTATTTGAAATTTATCAAAATTTACCGGGAGCACCGGTAAATTTTCATATTCAACTTTTTCTCAAAAGCAGAAGTTTTTTAGGGCCTAATTTTCTAGTGCTTATAATACGTCCACAGGGGCAGCCAAACATATTTAAAATTAAAAAATCACTATCCACCCAATTTTCAAAATTTCCCAAAACTTTGTATTACCTTTAAGCAAAATTAGTGATATAAAAACTAATTGTATACTGAATAGGAAAGAAATTACTGCTAATAATCAAATTCATATGTTTTTTGTCCCGTATAATGGAGGTTAATGTATAATGTACATGCTTTACATAATGTTTCTGCATTTACTATGCTATTCTATATTTAAAAAACATCATGAACAATGCCGAATAAAGATAATTTTGTTTCTGACAGAAAAAAAACACGAATACAAAATGTACGTTTCGATCACGAAAGGTGTTCACGAAAGGTGCCTTTCATCCCGACTGCTGTTAGCTAGGCTGTCTAAAGACGCTAGAATAATGACATGACATATTCCCACTGTGTAATAATCAGACACACACAATGCGGCTTTTCGTTGGCAAATCGCGCATCCGGGATTACCTCAATACAGCTTTCCTGCAAGCGCTCTTAGGTTAAAAAGCCGCAGCTTCTCGCACATGAGAATTAATCTAAGGCGCTTTAACCGGGTTGCGAGTTGCAGATGTAAATCAGTGTCTTGCTGAAGGGCGTTGGTAACGCGGCTGGGACACCAAACGCGAAACATTAAAGCCAAAGTTCGGTGACTTGCCATTTGAATAACAAAATGAATATGATACCATGTACATATTACTTTCGAAGGTTCGAGTTCATACCTCAGAATCACATTACATTAATTCTACTTTATCATCCCTGTATGACTTATGAGTTCAGATCTGTACCGATATTGATGAATGTCTGATCGATAATGGAGGATGCGATCCAAACGCACATTGCAATAACACGCAGGTAAGAGGGTCCACTTTTCTTTATTTTTTGGTCGTCAAAGAGTTCCTGTTTCATCTAATCTTGTTTTCAATTTCATATCTTTAGGTTCATTTACGATTACACATACATAAGGATTTTTAAACTTTTAATAATAATAATAATAATAATACATGAAATTTATATAGCGACATTATTCATTTTAATTAAATGATCAAGGCGCTTTTCAACGCTATAATATTATTTTCGCCGCTATAATATTATTTTCGCCAGTCTAATCTTAGACATATATGAATTTATTAGTCATGGATTCAATCATAGCCGTAGGGTCTACACCCAGCCCGTCTACGGTCAACATTTGGTCTAATAATGGTCTCGTCTACACATCATTTCGTTTAAAGGCCGTCTGTACTAGTTCGGCCTGAAGGGATTAGACTACCCAGCGAGGTCACTGACAGGTGGCTTTCTCATCAACTCAGCTCAGCTCTCAATTAACATAAGAAAAAGAGGATCATGGGGGACCAACAGACACCGATTGGGGAAGTTTTCTATAGAGAGGGAGCAAGTAGCTACAAGTAGTACAGTGGGGCTTAAATGATCATTTAGGCTAATAATCATTTGGTCTATTTCCCATTTTTTCTAATGCCCGTTTCGTCTACCATCTTTAAGGTCCAATACCGATTTGATGATTGTTATTAACTTATAGAAGGTAGACGGGAATGTGTGTAGACCGTATGGGTATAGACTAATTGGGTAGCAGACGAAGAGGATGTTGACCAAACGGCAGTTCTTCATCCTGCATATATAGGCTTACCGTTAAAGCCCCACTGTCCTACGTGTAGCTACTTGCTCCCTCTATATAGAAAACTTTTCCTAATCGGTGCCTGTTGGTCCCCCATGATCCTCTTTTTCTTATGTTAGTTCAGAGCTGAGATAATGAGATAGCCACCTGTCAGTGACCTCGCTGTCTGGTGATAATCCCTTCTAGCCCAGTAGTATTTGACGGTCTTTAATATTCCCCTCTATAAAGAAGAGCTAAAATTAAAAAACAGTAGTTATATGTCCTTCAATTTATACAGCATATTCTGTGAAAATGCCGTCGTTGATAAGCTACTTGTTATGGTTTGCAACCCTGTGTGGGTGAGGGTTTGCGTCTGTATGTGGCGTGTGGTTGTGCGTAAATTCGGAATGTGGGAATGTGGTATATAATCATGTGTACACGACCAGCAGGGATATAAAATTCATATTCAACATCGATTAAAGTTTATCTGTACTAGTTCATAGGAGGGATTAGACCACTCTGCAAGGTCACTCAAGGTTATCTCATCAACTTAGTTCTCAATTAACATAAGAAGAAAAAAGGATCATGGGGGACCAATGATTACCGATTAGGCAATGTTTTTTCAACATAGCGGGAACAAGTAGTTACCAGTAGGACAGTATGGCTTTAACCTTATAGTTATTCATGTCCAAAGATTATTGCTGGTGTATGAATTACGAATAAAGCGAAGTAGATCAAACAAACATTACTTCTCCCACCTTTTTTTCTTTCCCCTCATCTATTGGCATACAGGGAAGTTACTACTGTGGAGGGTGTCTATCGGGTTTCCTCGGTAATAACGAGATTGGATGTACACTCGGTGTAGATCATTGTGCATTAGGAACCCATGAATGTGACGAGCATGCCTCTTGCCACTATACACGGCCAGGATACTATTACTGTTTGGTATGGAGTGCTCACTGAGTTTTCAATATTTCAGATTTTGTAATGTTGTAAATTGAAAAATTTACTGTAGAAGAGGGGACAAAAAAAAATCCTCGAAATTAAAGAAAGGTCATGACCTATAAAATAAGATATTATTCTATCGTACTGTTACCACTTCTCTTTTAATATATATTGTGTATATCAGTATCTTTATATTAACTCATAGCCTGCCATGAGGATGCATGAACGCTATCGTTATAGTGCTTTGTACATGCGAGCAAACCATTGCTATGATGCCATGTGCGTGCGTGCACACTTTCAAAGTAGCAGTTATTGTTCATGCTCATTATAGTGTGCTGTGTGTTTTGCACTCGCCATTCATAGAATTATCGCGTTCATCAGATTATCTCCAAAACAATCTGGCACGGGGGGGATTTGGGGTTTGGCACAATGGGGATTAGCCCTGTGGCATGATAAGAGTTAATATCTACAATGCTATGGTAAATATATATATATATATAATATTTCGCGTTCTTTATTGACGTCATCAGTGTGATGAAGACGATGGGTCAGCCGGAAATGGGTTCACCTGCGGTCGTGACCTTGACCTGGATGGTCACGTGGACTCCAAGATCAAATGCGCGGGCACGTCGGACGAGAACTGCCTCGGGGATAACTGTCCGGGCTACCCTAACAGTGGGCAGGAGGATGCTGACGGGGATCGGATAGGAGATGCGTGTGAAACCGACTATGACAACGATAGGATTAGAAATGCTGACGTAAGACCCTGTTTGTATAGATATTATTAAACATAATAAGATGGTGATGTGTATCCTAATGAAATGATTGGTTGAGAGCGTACAAGTGACCAGGCATGTACTTTGCCTTACACGTAGTTTGATAATGACTGGTCATTATCAGATACTAAAAACATGTAATAAGTATTTTTTTTAAAATTATGTTATAAAACATAATTTAATAACAAAACAAATAAAACATAATCTTATAAAAACAAATAATACACATCATTTTGTTCTGGCATTAGTAAAATTACGCACACTCAGTTGGCCTACCTTTAAAACAGTCCAAACACCCTTGGCTATCGCCAGTCGGATGTGTTAGTCTGTTCCAAAGGTCCCTTGCGTGGGTAGTTCTTACTAATGCCCTCACTGATGTGTATTATTCGTGTATTAGAATTACTTGAACATATACGTTTGACGAGTTGGTCTAATGTATAACTCTCTTCTCTGCATTGCCTATGCACGGATTTGACCCTTGGTCACATTCATCTCATGAATATATTGAGTTGCTATGTTCGTTTCACGGTCTTAATGCTTTATCCGAATAACATATACGTTTTAACTCGGTGTATGCCATATGTAACTAAACGTATCGCACCGTGCCACATTATATCAAGATTATTTAACTGTCTCAGGGGGGTGTTTCACAAAGTTCCTAAGTTGAACTTAATTCTAAGTTGGGCTTAAATATTATGGAGAGCCATTTGTAGCCATAAAATAAAATATATTTAAAAGCGAAAATTCAATTTTTTAGCTCATCCGGTCCGAAGGGCCCGATGAGCTTATTTAGACTTTTTATAAACTCCACATCAAGAAAATGAAATCTCCTTGATAATAGAAAATATGAATGATTTGAATCAAAATTCCATGCCTTTTAAAATATCTTTTACAAAATATTTCCATAGATGCTAATGGCTTTCCATAAATGTTAAGTCCAACTTTGAGATAAGTTTAACTCAGGATCTTTGTGAAACACCCCCAGTAGCATGATTACTCTGTAAGGGATTTAAAAGGTTATCATGAGTCAATGGAGGAACCCTTACGAAAAACATTTTAATAACAATGGGGCTACCACGGGTAACAAAACAAAATAATACAAATTAAACCATGTGTTATCATTATCACATTATCCAATACCTGTTCAGATAATTCAGCCAGAACTATACCTGGTCGCTCTTTTTTTTTAAATTCAATTTTAATCGTTTTTTGTGTTTACCTTTATTAATGTTTATGTTTATCAGGTTATTATTTCAATATCATTATCATTGTCATCATCATCCCCGTCATCATTATCATCATCATTAGCATATTCATCATGAACACCATCATCATCACTGTCATCATCACTGTCATCATCATCGTTATCATCATCATAATCAGCACTAAGCATCATCATCATCATTATTATCACCATAATGAGTATCATCATCATGATTAAAATCATCGCCTTTTTGTTCATTTCTTTCCCGCAGGACAACTGTCCCTTCGTGGCTAACTTCGACCAGGCGGACGGCGACGACGACGGCACAGGTGACGCGTGTGATAACTGTCCTACAAACTCTAACGCTAATCAGCAAGACAACGATAGGGATGGTACCGGGAATGAATGCGACAACGACAACGACAACGATGGTCAGTGAAAAAGTTATATTATTTGCTCGTGTTGTAAATGTACTTTAAAAATATTCTTTTGATCTCGAAGAGGGATGTTTGTTTTGTTTCATTTTGTTTTTAGTAGAATTTTATTTTTTATTTTTTTTATTCGGACTGTGTGTTTTGCTTTGTTGTTGTTTACGTTGTCATCGTATTTAATAAAAGGTTAACCGTAGAATACCCTTTGCGCATCAGGACAATGTATAAGCCTTTGCGCTCGGTTAATTATCTAAATGCCATCCACGTAATCTTTTTGTATCACATTGTATTTATCTATGGAAAGATATATCAAAGGCCTCCTAATTATTTAACTGTTTCAATTGCAAGATTTAACTAAACCAGTATTAAAACGGTTGTCATCGAGCTTATCAAGATATATCAATGGCTCCAACAGACTAGCTCTGGATTCTGACAACATTTTAGTACACTATTTCGTTCATGAAATCAGCACATATCATCTATATTGTATTATGTGTTGTTCTCCTTTGTGGTATCACATTAAAAGGTTGTCTATAAACGTATAGTTAAAGACGCACGCAAGTGGGCTCTCATGGGGAATTCGACACCATGTGGGTGTTTACCCAATTACAAGTGTTTTTAATCACCATGACTAGCCTTCAGTTGCATGACCAACAACTGTTATTTAATTGTCTGCATTCTCCACCAGTCGCCCTATATGGAAAATTCATTATCTTACATTTCCCTAAACCGAAGACTCTCCGCGAGACTAGGGGTATATTTTGATGAGACTACGGGTTTGGTCTGGTGTCAGCGAATTTATGACCTACTGCACATGAAAACTGACGACCATTTCATATATAATTATTCATATTCCACTCGGGAAATAACTCACAGTTCTTTGTTTTGTTTGATTGATTTTATTTCTGCGTTCAAAAATATACAAATTCAAAGTCAAAGTACAAAATTTCGAACAATAACAAATACAATGAATACAATATTTACAAAAGTAATTGAATGAAAAATCATGTACAATTATATCATTCGATAAACATGTACGTAGCATACAATAACATAAGAAATATTTTTAATAAATTAGAGAGGTAATTTGGAACGCAGGAGACCACCATCGTGAGCGGTTAGGCTGGAGATGGATGGCGGCCTCGTAAAAAGAATTGGCGACATAACTCTCTTCGAAAAACTGAGTGATCAAGAGAGTGCGGTGCAAGTGCAGGTGCAGTGAGCAGTTGCATGATAAAGAATAAATAAGTCACGGTTTTGTTATACTAATTTAAAGAGAGGGGAGCATATGATTGTATTATTTGTCGTTTAAGTGTAGCTTTTAAGGAGTAGATGGTTGAACAAGACTTTATGTTGTCGGGTGAATCATTCCAAATGTCCGGGCCAGAATGTCTAACAGATTTGTGTGTTATTGATAATTTGGGGTTTGTAAGATGGAAGTTTCCAGATATGCGAGTAGAGTATGAATGAACGGAATTATTAAACCTAAACATGTTACCAAAGGATGGTGGAAGCAGATTATTAATGTACTTAAACATAATAACTGCTACTTGAGTAGTGTTCAGATCGAAAATTATTAGTGTTTTAAGTTTATAGAATAAAGGATCAGTGTGAGCTAAGAAATGCGAACCTGTACAAATACGTATGACTTTCTTTTGCAGTTTCAAAATAGAATTAATTTTTGTCGAACCACAATTTGCCCATACACTATGACAATATGTTATATACGGGAGAACTAGCGAATTATATAGTAGGAATAAGATTGCATGGGGTAGAAGAAACTTTAACTTGGAGATTATTCCAATACTTTTGGAAATGCACCTTGTAACTTGGTGTAAATGATCATTCCAAGTCAAGGTTTCATCTATAAGAACACCCAAAAACTTGGAAGTAGTTTTCTTCTCTAGTAGCATACCATCGATTTTGATATATATAGGTGTTTCTGTATTATAAGAATGATGTTTAAAATACATGAAATTAGTCTTTTTTGTATTAAGTGAAAGTTTATTGGATTTAAACCAATCTGATACTTTGTTAATTTCATAATTCAAAGTATTGTTTAACGAATTAAGGTCTTTATGGGAATAATAGATATTTGTATCATCGGCAAATAAGATAAAAGAAAGAAGGGGGGATGTATTGATAATATCATTTACATAAAGAAGAAATAACAGTGGACCTAAGATGGAGCCTTGAGGAACACCGCATTGAATTAAAAGAGGATCAGAATCATAACTATTAAATGTAACATATTGTCTTCTGTTTGTTAAATAATCTTTAAACCATAAGAGTGGCTGACCCCGAATTCCGTAATGACTGAGTTTGGAGAGTAGAATAGCGTGATTGAGCGTATCAAATGCTTTTTACTCAAGTCACAGAATATACCTACAACATGCTCTTTGTTAGCTATGGCACTTGTAATTTTGTCATAAATTTGAATTAATGCTAAGTCAGTTGAGTAATTTTTTCTGAAGCCATATTGATTTGAATTGAGTATTTTGTGTTTAGTGATAAATTTGTGTAGCCTATTATGAACGATCTTTTCTAAGACTTTGGATATACTTGGAAGTAGGGAAATTGGACGATAGTTACTAATATCGTGAGGAT